GTAATACCTAAAAAAATGTAAACGCTAAGCACATAGTTGTTAAACTTCATTATTTAGGAAGTAATGACAAGAAAAAAAGTCTCAATGTCTGGTACAGGCGCAATTTTTTTTCCTGAATATTTTCAGTTGGCTGATGGTTGAATCCATATATGGTGGATTCCCTAGATGTTGGTGGAACCCATAGGGTATGGATGACTGCAATTTAGCAAGAAGAGTATGGCAGTTGTATTTTGCAAGTCTCATGTGTTTGGTTGGTTGGTTGGTACCGGGGATTGAACTTGGGACCTCGTGCTCGCAAGCCAGGGAGCAGAACCACTGAGCTAAATCCCTGGCCCATCATGTGTTTGACTTAATAGAAAACAGCTCAATTCACATATCAGTTTCTTCATTCCATTTGTTGCAATATATTGTTTTGGTTGAAGTCTATGAAAAAAAAATCCAGCCTTAAACAAGTATATGGTTAGAAAAGGGGAGAGAATATTGTCATAGCCTTTTTAGATAGTTGTGGGTAGTGTTAGATACTAAAATTGTATATGCCAAATTTAGCAAGTACTACAGGAGCCCCTCCCTCCTTTTTTTTAAGTACTGGGAATCCAACCCAAGAGCTCTCCACCACTGAGCTACATTCTCAGCCTTTTAAAAATTTTCATTTTGTGAACGAGTCTTGCTAAGTTGCTTAAACTTGTCATCCTCCTGCCTCAAGAGAACTCCTTTGGTACTGTGATTGCAGGTATGTACCCATATGCTGGTTTACGCAATGGTTGGTTAAAGGTTAGTTGCAGTTTTGAATCTGAAATCGTATCAGTGAAATTTTCACTTAACTTTTTAATTAAACATGTTTCTTTTGTACTTTGCATGTATCTTTTACCCATTTATGATTTTGTAACATATATTGGCCATTTGGAAAATACTGGTTCATTGACTTACACATGTTTTCCAAATGTTGACACATTTTATTATATAGTTACAAACAAAAATAAAAAAATTGTTTATAGGCCCCGGGGATTTAACTCAGTGGTTCCGCCTCCTGCCTCGAAAGCGCAAGGTCTGGAGTTTGATCCCCAGTACCAAAAAAAAAAAATTCTTTACAGTTTCATTACAGATATAGTTTTTATTTTATTTTTTGCAGTGCTTGAGATTGAACACAACACAGGTAGGCAAGCACTCTACCACTGAGGTTCACCTTCAGCCCTCACTTTTTTTCATTTTTAAAACTTTAAAGATACTCTCAAGAGCAAGTGGCCTTTAAAAATAAATCTGGGACGGGCCAGGGAGTTAGCTCAGTGATGCTGCTGCCTGCCTCACAAACACAAGGTCCCCAGTTCGATCCCTGGTACCAAAAAAAAAAAAAAAAAAATCTGGAAATATACAATAATGTTACATATAGCATTGATAGGATTGCCTTTGTTCTTGGTAAGGTGCTTGTAGTTTTGCCAACTGTTAATTTTCTACTGTCATTGTAAACTGTCCATATGATAAAATGTTTTTTTTCTTTGAATAATGGGATTGGTCTTGTGCATGCTGGGTAAGTTCTCTACCACTTAGCTACATTTTTATTTTTATTTTATTTTGAGGCAGGGTCTTGCTGGGTTGTCTAGGCTGGCCTAAAACTTGTGATTTTCCTACCTTGGCTTCTCAAGTAGCTGGGATTACAGATGTGAGCCACTGTGCCAGACTGATTTTTATTTTTTAGTTGTGTTTGTGGTTTACATGTAACCCAGAATCTCTGAGATATTGGTTATTATTTTAACATTGTTTTCTGTAGTTGAAGTTTCGATTTTATTGTGCTTGGTATGTTTGTTATGCTTTTATTTTTTCTTCCTATGTGAGATTTTTCATGATGGTCAGAGTTTTGTTATGCATGGCGTGTATTGGTCATTTAAGTGTACTTTCCCAGCCCAAATCCATACAATACTTGTTCTTGCTTTAGGAATTGCTAAGAGGAAAGGGAGGAGTATTTGACTAATGTGTTTCTCCTTTAGGGTATATGAATAGCTTGACTTCTTTTTTTTTTTTTTTTTTGGTTTTTTGAGACTGGGTCTCACTCTATAGCTCAGGCTGCCCTTGAACTCACTATGTACCCAAGCTGATCCTCCTGCCTCAGCCTCCCAAATGCTGGAATTACAGGCATGTACCCAGCAGGATAGCTTGACTTCTTGGTACAGGTGTTTTTTGTCCTTCAGGAGGTACTCATCCTATTTTTGCAGTCATACTATCAAATAATACAGAAAGCTGTACTAGACCTTTAGTCATGTAGTGTTCTACTATGGTTTTATTATCTGGTTGACTGACTGCCTAGGACTATTGTGGCGAACCTATGGCATGGGTGCTACAGCGAGCACACAAAGCCCTCTCTGTGGTGACATCACAAATTGTGTGTGTTTTTTTAAACTAAAACTTCAGTATTCAGGTTTAATTTTAGTGTTGGCACTTTGTGATAAATAAGTGGGTTTTGGGTTGTGGTTTGGTCACTTGATTAATGAGTGTCTGCGGTGGTTGAACTAGGTGATTACAAGTTTAGGGCAGTGGTTGGAAACTTGCCGGGCAAAGTTCAGTGTCTCTGTAAACCTCTTACCTTCTTTGTCCTCAGTCTTGAAGGAGGATGAAATGTAAATTCAGGGCTAATCAACCTTGTTTTGCCAACCTTTAAAACAAGACACTCCTTAAATGATAAACTACCCTTATGTAGATCTGAGACCCAAAGATTTACAGTAACAAAGGACACAAAATAAAAGGCAAGCTTTGTTATAGTTTGTTATCTAGAGGATATTTGTAGGCCCAAGTGGAGAGTCATGGTTTTTACCAAAAACTACCTTTACCTGAGTGCATTGAGAAAATACAAATCAAGATTTTGTGAGTATCAGGCTAGTGGCCCCAGATTCTTCCTGTCTAGCATCCCTGTTAGTGATTTCTATGTCATGACTGTGTCAAGTACTAACCAGTGGAATTTAATGCATTTTCCATGGTGACTAAGCTGTTGCCACACATAGTACGTTGTAGCTGTAACCTTTTTTTTTTTTTTAAAGCACTTGGGATGGAATCAGGGTCTCACATATTCAAGGCACTGTACCAGTGAGCTCCCCACCCTGCCCCTCAGTGGCTATAATTTTTGTAGTTTGAGGTGTTACAACAAAACTAGCACAATTTTTTGTGTTTTTTTGTAATTTTGAGAACAAGGTCTTGCTGAGTTGCTAAATTGTCTGGGCTGAGCTCAAATTTGGGATCCTCTGTATTCTCCAAGAGCCATGCCTGCCTTGAAGATAAATTCTTAATGTATAATTTAGCATCCTCAACACATAATTTTGTTTTATTCTTTATTGAGAACTTGAACTTTTTTCCTTAAAGGAAGTATTTTATGTTTTTTCTTTGGCATATCTGAATTGCTAGTGTAACTTGCTCTTTGGGGCTATTATTAAGAAAAATAAGGGTTACTTGAACACAAGCACTACAATCTCTGCATAATTGATGTGGTAACCTAAAATGGCTATTAACTGACTAATAAGTAAGAAATGTATTCAGCTTGGGATATGCTGGATAAAGGGATGGTGTAGCATATAGTGAAAAACTTATGAATTGTTTTTAGAATTTTCTATTTAACATTTTCAGACTATGGTGGACCACAGGTAACTGAAACTGTAGAATATGAATCCCCAGATAAAGGGGAGTTATTATATTGTGTTTTGTCATCCTTTCTCGTAGTGCATCTGATATTCTCAGATTGCTTTCTGTTCTTGTTTGTGGTATACCCTTTCTAGATTTTCAGCACTACTCCATATGTTTTGATTTTTTTTTTTCAAATTTTAGGCCAGGGATTTAGCTCAGTAGTTCTGCCGCCTGCCTTGCAAGTGCAAGGTCCTGAGTTTGATCCCCGGTACCAAAAGAACCCCCAAATTTTAGTTTTGGAGACAGTAATAGACATACAGAAAAGTTGGAAACATTTGTTGCTGAACCATGATGTCTCATGACCTTGAAATATTTCCATCTTTATTTCCTATAAAAAAGGAAAACATCCTCCTACATAATGACATGATAATCTTCAGTCTAAACATTAGTTGCTCTAATTATTCCATTTAATTGGCTTTTTTTGTGTGTGCTATTGGAGATTAAACCTAGGGCCTTTACACTGGGCCTTGTCCTCGACCATTTTTTTAATTTTGAGGCAGGTCTGACAAATTGCAGGACTTGAATTTGCAATCATCCTGCCTCAGCCTTCATTTATTCTTGAGCCATACTTTTTTTTTGGTACCGGGGATCGAACTCGGGACCTTGTGCTTGCGAGGCAGGCAGCAGAACCCCTGAGCTAAATCACCAGCCCGCCTTCTTTTATTCTTCAATCTGAAACATTCTATTTTTACTTTCAAGATGTTGTCACTTTTGAAAATTATAAGCTTAGTTATTTAGTAGAATTTGATATTTTTCAAGGTTAAGTTATGAATTAGATTTCATGGTTAGATTTTATAGTTAGATCTTTGGTAGGGTTATAATAGATGTGATGCTGCATTTTTCTCATTGTGTTTTAACAAGTGCTGGCAAAATTCAGTTTGTCTCCTTACTGTGATTCTCACTTTAGGTGATACAAGTTGTGACTGCCAGATTTTTCCTTTAGATATTTTACCATTTGTAATTAATAGATATTTTGCGGGTTAGGTAGTTTGAAACTATGTAAATATTTTGTTCCATATCGGATTATGTATTTATTTACATGTACATGGATACATGGTTTCCTCCTCACAAGATTATAATCATCTGTCTGTCTGTCTGTCTGTCTGACTGTCTGAGACAGGGTCTTGCTATGTAGTTCAGGCTGGCCTTGAACTCATTAGCTCAGGCTGGCCTCAAACTTGCAGCACTCCCCTTGCATCAGCCTCCTGAGTGTTGGGATTACAGGTGTGTGCCACTACACCAGCCATTGTCAATTATTTTGATGCTCAAATTGTTACTGATTTGGCCAGTGAAAACCCCTTCCATATGGTGTATTGTCTTTGTTTTTTGTTTTTTAGACAGGGTCTCACTGTGTAGTCCAGGCTGGGCTTGAATTTGCAGCGATCCTCCTGTTTTAGCCTCCCAAGTGCTGGGATTACAGGTATGTGCCTTTTTTTTTTTTTGAGATAGGGTCTTGCTGTGTAATTCAGGCTGGCCTTGAACTCACTTTGTAGCCCAGGTTGGCCTCAAACTTGTAGTGATCTTCCTGCCTCAGCACTCCTGAGTGCTGGGCTTACAGGTATGCACCACCATATCTGGCCCAGGTGTCTTATTTTCTTTTTTGACATTTTTTTGAGTACTTCCATGCTTTTTAGCACAATAAAATATTCTACACTTACCTTTTATTCTTTCATTATTTTGAATGGAAAACGGTACAAACCAAGGTCTGAATGCTTGTGTTTATTGCTTTTGGGGTGTTGCTGCTTCTGACTCTTGGAGTATAGAGCTAGGGAATATTTTTATATGTGTAAACATAGTTATATTTATATGTATTTGTATGTCTATGAAGAAACCATGATTTCAAAATAGCCTCAGTTTTAATCTATCAGTGCAGGATTTATCCTAAGAATTTTTTTCATTTCATATTTGTAACTTATCTCTGAGAGTGAGAACTAGTTTCTCTCCTTCCTCCCTCTGTGTGTGTTTGTGTGTGTGTGTATATGTGTATGTGTATGAAATCAAACATCTGTTCAGACATTTTGAGCCAGAAGTCCCTGTAGTACAATAACTGATTCTAGTGGGATAAAATTCCATAAAGTATAAAAAAAAAGCTTTAATTTTATAATAAAGTACAGTTAGGTAAAATAGTTCATTCATCTGTAATTCCAGATTTCATTCCAGTAATTTCATTCCTCTGTGAAAGGTGGATTTCGGGGTGTGTGTGTGTGTGTGTGTGTGCGCGCGCACACACACACGCGCACATGTGCAGTGCCCCTTATATATGCTAGGCAAGTGCACTACAACTGAACTATATCCCCAGCCTGAATCTGGTACTTTTATTGTCTAACCTGCAATTCTTCATGGAAATGTGTAAGTGCAGTGATTTGGGTGCAACTTTTTTCATATTGAAGTCCTATTGTTTGTATCATCCCAGAGTTTGGAGCATGTATCTGTCTTCCTGATGATGGTTTTTAGATCAGTTTGACTCTTTGAGGTGGGCATGGGGAGGGATGGACAATATTTGTATTAGAAGCAGTGCAAGAAACCTTTAACATAAAAATGAATCTCCTCTTGCCAAGACTGTTACCTATCCTAGAAAAAATTGGTTTGACTTTCCAACCCCTGGAGATTTTGGAAGTAATTTAAGATATAGTGAGATATGCTTTTGTGAGCAGGTCTACTTTCACTCTTGTAGAAAAAGATATAAGGATCTTGGCATCATCAAATGGATCCTTTGGGAGACCTGTTAATTTTTGTGGACTTCAAAAGATTTAGTTTATTGTCTTGGTGCTAAATGCAGAATAGAAGGGACTGTATATATTAGATGCTATTTGATTTGGTCATGGATACCTGATAGTAAGCTAGTGTCTTATCTGCCCTTTTTTTGATTCAGTTCTTTTTTTTTTTGGTGCCAGGGATCAAACTTGGGACCTTGCGCTTACGAGACAGGCGCCAGAACCACTGAGCTAAATCCCTGGCCTCTGCTCTTTTTTTGAAAGCATTTCCAAGTGAGAGACCTTAGAAGTCATTTCCCTTATCTTCCTGATGTTAGTTATTGAAATTAATACAGTTCTTATCAATTTTATCATGTCTATAGAGTGAGATAAAAGTAGGATAGGGAGGCTAGTAAAGGGAAAAGCAGTGTCATGTTTTTGATAGGCAAAGAGCTAAAAGAGTTACCAAAATTTTTTTCTGATCATAAAAATAGTCTTGCTATAAAGATTCAAATACAGTACAGAATTATATAACATAGAAAATAAAAATTCTCCATAATGGTATCTCCCAGGAAACTGCTCTGTGTTTAGTTAAAAATGGAGGATGGGGCTAGGGATTTAGCTCAGGGGTTCCGGAGCCTGCCTTGCAAGTGTCAGGTCCTGAGTTTGATCCCGGGTACCCCCCCGCCCCCATTAAAATAAAAAAAAATAAAAATGGTAGATGGAGCTGGGAATGGTAGTGCATGCCTGCACTCCCAACACTCTGGAGGCTGAGGCAGTAGGATTGCCTTGGGTTTGAGTCCAACCTGGGCTACACAGTTCAAGGCCAGCCTGAATTATGTAGTGAGACCCTGTCTCAAAAAAATCCCAAGTGGCCGGGGATTTAGCTCAGTGATTTTACCGCCTGCTGTGCAAGCGCAAGGACTGGAGTTCGATCCCTGGTACAAAAAAAACCCCCAAAATAACAAGACCCAAAAATTGCAAGGTCCAGAGTTTGATCCCTGGTACCAAAAAAAACACCCAAAAAAGGTAGATGGAATCAAGTTCCCTTTGAAGAGTTGCTATCAATTTTCATTCTTACCAGTAGTATATAAAAGTACTTCTTTGTGTACATTTTGTAATAGAATGTATATTAGTTGTCTTTGTTAGTTTTTTTTTTTTTTTTTTGGTACTGGGGATCAAATTTGGGACCTTGTGCTAAGAGGCCGAACAACTGAGCTAAATCCCCAGCCCTGTTAGTCTGTTTTTGTTAGTGAAATGCAAGTAGCTGAGTAGTTATAAAGAAAAGAGGTTTATTTAGCCCACAGTTTTGGAGGCTGAAAGACCAAATATTATAGTAGTTTTGATTTTGGTATGGACCCCTTGGCTGAATCACCTATGGCCCCACAGTGGCGGGAGCATGTGCAAGAGAGGAGGAGACCATGTGGCAAGACAGGAAGCCAGGTAGACACTGAAATTCCACAGTCCCTTTGGAGGACATGCTCCCAGTTGACATCAATACTTCTCACTGACCTCACCTCTTACTCTTTTTGTGGTGCTGGGCCTCATAAATGCTGGGCAAGTGCTCTACCCCGAAGCTATATCCTCAGCCCTAGGCACCACCTCCTAAAGGTTTTACACCAGCACCCTAAGGACCACACTTTGGCACATGAACCCTTAAGGTACAAATCACAGCATTGTCTTACAATACCTTTGCAATCTGAGTGATACAGTATACTGTGTAAGAACATAGACTTTGGAGGCTGTTATGGTTTGGGTCTGAATGTCCCCTCAGCCTCATTTGGTCAGAGGTGGCTGAATCTGGAATGTGTGATGCTGGGATTAAGGGCCTTATGATTACTAAACCACTACTAACCCTGGTAGTCTGGATGGGATAAAAGGGGCAGAAAGACACTGGTAAGGTCTCTTGTTGGTTTTGCTACTATGTGGGTCCCATGAACTGTTTCTCCTCTTTGACGCCCTCTGCCATGTGTAACTCTGCCTTGGAGTCAGCTGATAATGGACTGAAACCTCTACAAGATGTGAGCTAAATCAACCCTTTCCTCTTTGACTTTGGGTGTCAGAAATTTTGTCTCAGCAACAAGAGAAAAGTAATTAAGAGGCAGAGTGCTTGAATTTAAATCCACTATTTAGAAATACTGTAATAACATTGGCAAGTTAAATGTAAGAATTCTTTTAGATGTAGTGTATGTGTTTGTGTGCTTTGTTTGTTTTGCTTGGTTTTTATTGGTTTGTTGCTTATCTGTATGCGTTGGTTATGATGTTAGCTGCGTAGAAGTTTAAATTCTAATGTAATCAAATTTGTCAGTACTTTTGCTTTCACTTTGAGATAGGGCCTAATTTGTACTTTTCATAACTTTTTCTAAGGTTTATTTTTTAAAATTTTGGTGTAAGGCAGTAGTCATCTAGCTTTATTTTTGCTAAATTTCTAACATGTTTTAACACCATTTGTTGACTAGGTAATCTTTTTATATGCTTTTTTTCCTCACCAGTGTTGAATCCAGGGAGAGATGAGCTACATCCTCGGCCCATTACCTTGTATTTTATTTCAAGACAAAGTCTCACTGAGTTGCCTAGGCGAGCCTCAAACTTGTGATCTTTCTGCCCTAGCCTCACGAGTAGCTGGCATTCCAGGTATGCATCACCATGCCTAGACCATCAGTGATATCTATGTTTGTCCTTGGTATGCGTATGTTAGGTTTAGATCTAAAGTGTCTCCCAAAAGTCTCATGTGTTTAGAAGGTGATTGGATCATGGAGGTGCTCTGCTCATCAGCAGATTCATCCATTGATGAATTCAGTTCCCTAATATGCTGTTGGGAGGTGTGGGGCCTGCTTGGAGGTGGGTCAGTTGGGGGGCATGACCTGGAAGGGTATTTTCTTGGCTCAGGCTCCTGCTTTTGCTCTCCGCTTCCTGGCTGCCATGGTTGAGCACCTTACCTTCACCATGCTCCTCTGCCATGCTGTTTCTTCCTCAGAGTCCATCATTTATGGACTGAATCATCTGATATGTGAGCCAAAATAAATCGCTCCTTTAAGTTGCAGGTGTTGGTTATGCAATATTGCCCCACTGAAAGAAAAGTGACTAATATAGCATATTTCTTCTTCTTTTCAGTGAAAATATATTTTTTGTTTAGTTTATTTCTAAACAGATTTTGGAGGATAACAACTGCTATTATGGGTCTCTTTCAGCAGTTGTATTCTTATGTGGCTATTTAAATGGAGGGAAGCAATTGATTTTTCATGTTTATTACCTTTAACACTATGGATGACTTTTGGAAACTCCCTAATATTTATGCTTGTATTTCCTAGGTGTAAAGCTATAGATTTACTAGTAGTGTGTTTTATTTTTGGTGAATTATAAATATATTAAACAGTATGTTCTAATATTTTATACTTTAACATGCATACTAACAGGTACTTTTAAGAACAGTTATTATAAACCATCTTTTCTTTTTCTTTTTGGTACCAGGGATTGAACTCAGGACCTTGCATTGCAGGGCAGGTGGCGGCACCACTGAGCTAAATCCCCAGCCCTATAAACCATGTTTTTAACTGAAGAAATCTTTCCTTAATTTCCTGCCATTACTTTATATAATCATTCAACATTAGGATAAGTGTGATTAATTTATTCTTCAGTAAGGGGTAGGTGATTTTTACTGCTGCTCATGGGCTTCCTGCTGCTCCTGGGCTTCCATGAAATCAGGCTGCCCTTGCCTTCTCTAGCATTGTCTGGCTGTGGAAGTGGAAAAGGATAGAAGGAATTTACTAAATTGAATATTAAAAAAAAAAAATCCTTGGATTAATTCTTCTAAGTAGAAGTTCCCTTTTTCTTCTGGTCATTAACTGCCCCTTGAAGTGTCTCTGAGGAGGATCTTTTGAACATTGTTTTTCCCTTTTTGATTTTTGTCGCTTTAAAAGCTAAAACATTCTCCTTAAACTGCTTAATATTTACTTTAATGCATATTCATGATTATATGTAATATATACATTGTATATCATTTATTTTGATCTTTGATTATAATAGTAAATGATCTTGCTAACATAATGTTATATGTGTAACAAATCTTTGTCACTACTTATACCATTTATAGGTTAATTTTTTTATGGGTTAATTTTCTATTAGTTTGTATGTTTGTAAATTGTACATTGTAGAGCTAGGCATGGTGGCTCAGGCTTGTAATCCCAGCACTTGGGAGACTGAGGCAGGAGGATCACCATAAGTTCAAAGCCAGCCTGGGCTACACAGTGAGTTCAAGGCCAGCCTGAAGTACATAGTAAGAACCTGTCTCAAAAAAAAAAAAATTTAACTTACCATGTTTAAGGACAAATAATACTTCATTGTACATATATATTCTTTGTCATATATTAAAATTATTTAAAATAGGATCTCCAGCCGAGTGTGGTGTTACATGCCTGTAATACCAGTACTCAGGAGGCTGAGGTAGGAGCATCGCCTTGAGTTTGAGGCCAGCCTGAGCTACATAGTGAGTTCAAGGCTAGCCTGAACTACATAGTGAGACCTTGTCTCAAAAAAGCAAAACCAAACAAAAACATAGTATCCCCATATATTCAATTTGATTATTTTGGGGGAAAGAAGGTTGCATATTTTTAATAGTTTTTCTTTACAATAAGATTTCAGATGGCTTTTAATAGGATGTGGATACATAGTTAATAGAAACAGAAAACAAGATCCAGGGAAGCAGTGAAGAAGTATATAACTTTAAGTAATGTAGCATAGTTGCTTTTGGAGAACATCAGGTTTAGCTAAGCTTCCTTAGAGCCAAAATTATTACCCTAAACAAATCACAGATTCTCTAGAGAAGGGAAAATTTTTCTTTGGATTGAATTCTAAACAATTTCTAAAATGTGCATTCCCTTATATAAGAGGTATTGAGTAATGAATGGGCAATGTTATTGTCTTAGTTACTTCTCTATTCTTCTTTTCTTCTATTTATTTTTTTTGCTGAGACAAAATACTTGACACTCAAAGAGGAAAAGGTTTATTTAGCTCACAGTTTGTAGAGGTTTCAGTCCATAATTAACTGGGTTCAAGGCAGATTGGCATGGGAGAGAGGCAAGGCATTACAGAGGAGAAACAGTTCATGGCAGAGGGAAGGTAGCAAAGCAAGCAAGAGACAAGACAAGTCTCTTTTCTGTCCCTTATATTGTATCTAGGCTACTGGGATTAGAGTGGTGCCAAACCAATCAGTGGACTGATTTAATAATCACCCATCCTTAATCATAGACTCCTTAATCTAAGCATTGCACCATGAATGAATCACACATTCTATATTCAGCCATCACTGATAAAGCCCCACATATGACTGCATGAGGCTTTGGAGGGACATCTAGACACAAGCCATAACAGTTATTGGCAATGATTTTTCAGTATGTATGTACATCTCTCAGGCCTTCTCCATAGTAGTTTTCTTTTTTCTTTCTTTTTTTGGGGGGTGGTAAAATATTAAAAAACTCAAGGAAGATGGATTATGTATGAAGATAGTCTAATGTATTTCACAAGTATAGATTTTTGGCTTTTTGTACTTTTTATTTTTTGTACTCTTAACTTCATCTAAGGATAAAATAAACATGAATGGATGTAATATTTTTTACACTCCTAAACATTACTGTTCAAATTTGAACTGTTCCTACCTGGGTACCAGACAGTTTCAAAATGATGTACTAGAATTCTGTTTTGCTTATAGATGCTCTAGAAAGCAGTTGAAGAAGTGGTATGTTTATTATCATTAAGAAAGTTGAGAAGTCCATTCTTTTTCTACAACAGTTAATTGTAAATATTATGAAACTTAGTTTTCTAAGGAGTCATGTTTCAATTGCTCCTGAATTGGATGTACTTTGCTGAGACCACTTGAAAACACCAAAAATGGGGGCCGGAGATTTAGCTCAGTGGTTCTGTCGCTTGTCTTGCAAGCACAAGGACCCAAATTTGATCCCCGGTACCAAAAAAAAAAAACACCAAAAATGTGCTAGAGAATTTGGATGTGGTGGCACACCCCTGTAATCCTAATGATTGGGGGCGGGGTGGGGGGGGCAGGAGGATCACAAGTATGAACCTAGGCTGGGGAATTAGTCACTTAGTGAGACCCTGTGTCAAAAATAAAAAAGACTTGGGAACGTAATTTGGTGTGAAGACTCTGGGCTCAATCCTCAGTTTTTAAAAAAAGTGCTAGAGATGATTTTGACTTGGGAAATTTTTATTTTTTTAGCACTAGAGATTGACTCTAGGGGTCTTCCACCACTGAGCCCTTTTTATATTTTATTTTAAGTCAGGGTTTTGCTGAGTTGCCCAATCTGTCCTTGAATTTGTGAGCCTCCTTGCCTCAGCCTTCTGAGTAGCTGGGACAGGCGTGCAATTGCCATGCTCTGCTAATGTAAATTTTCAAGTGTTCAAGTCATGTTGCCCATCACATGTTGGTGCTAAAATGGAAAAAGATAATCCTTAATCATAGTTGCAGGAAATATGTAACTTTGAGCAGGATAGATAGTGTTCCATTTTGTTTGATTGAATTAGCTAAAGCAAGCAAACAGAAAAACATACCTCCAGGTAATTTAAAGCGGTAACTTTTAGTGAAGCATTACATTTAAAGTACATGACTGCATATTGGAATATCAATGCTACTGACAAAAGTCATAATTCTTCTAGTTAGCCATTCCTTTTTTCACAATAAGTTAAATTCTATTGTAAATCTTTTGAGACAAGGTCTCGCTGTATAACCCAGGGTGGCTTTAAACTCAGCAGCGATCCTTCTGCCTAAGCCTCCCCAGCGTTGGGATTAAAGGCATGTACCACCATGCCCTTCATAGAACAGTCATTTTATACATTTGGAATTCATTTGGTACATATGATTGTCCTGGATCCTAATTCTTGCTGTCATATTACATTAGAATGTGGGTTTTGTGAAGGTAACAATCACAAATTAAGTGTGTGCTGGGCTATAGCAGAATTTTATTTAGAACTAAATGACAGTGACAAGCCAGTGAAAACCCTTAGTTTAACTTTCTTCAGAAATTTTGTTGTCAAGCAAAAATAAAGTTGGGACCATTAGAATGCTACTTCTAAAGACTGCTCACCTCTTAATGTGTTTTTTATATCTGTTTCTCTCTGTGGTGGCTTGTTTACTATACTGTCTATTATTTATTGTGTCTCATGTTAGAATATAAGCTATATAAGGGCAAGAACTTCAGCTGTTTTGTTCTCTACCTCTTTTGAACAGTATGTGGCACATAAGTACATAATGAAAAAGAACATACTAATATTCAGAATTTCATTTGTGGCTGAGGATGTAGCTTAGTAGTAGAATGTTGTCTAGCATGTACCATGAAGTCCTGGGTTTATTTTCCAGTGCTGCTAGGAAAGGGATATTTCTGTGAAAAGAAATGTCTGTCATGAAATATTGATGGTATATTTTAGAAGAGTGGCACCCTATAAAGGAGGAGCCTAGAGGAAAAGCCACTGTTGGCTAGGTCTAAGGGATCAATGTTACTACAGTTTGTCTTTTCTGAAACTTCACCATAGTCCTACAAGTCACACTACTCTACCTATGGACTAATTTTACTAGCGCTTATTAATTAATGGTTTAAAAAAAAAAGTAATAGTTTGTGGGAAGACTA